TGAACCACTCAGTCTGTAGCTCCTGGGACAACACCTGCCTACTGAGGTTGTCCTGGCTCGGTTTTCCACAGCGATGGTGGAGAATTGGACTCCACAGACTCACAGCCTTTCTGTTAGGCTTCAGGAGCCAGCATCCTTCATCCTGGGACTGGCAACCCTGAACAATGGCTGAGGGCCAGAGGACCCCATAAAGTTACTCTACAGCTTACAGGGGCCAAAGCATTCCAGTGCCTGTGGACTATGACCACTTATCGTCCCATTCCCAATGATGGCATGGACCTGGCAGCCAGCTGTGGGGTTAGGGGAGCCAATGTCCTCCCCGGGCCCCAAACAGGAGACTATGCTCCCATGGGATTCTGGGTCCAGAATGGCATGCCCCAGCCTGTTGGTGAGAGCCCAGCTACTGCCATCACCCGCCCCAGTCCCACCACCCCCACAGTGCCCAAGATGGGCGTGCGTGCAAGAGTGGCTGACTGGCCACCCAAGAGAGAGGCCCTGAGAGAGCAGAACAACCCAAGTCCCTCACAGGACACAGATGGCACAAAAACCACAAAGATGGCCCGTTCCATGAGGAGCTTACGGAATGGAGAGCCTGCCGCCAACACCCCAGCCTCCTCAGGGTCCCGGGCCTTCCACCGACTCTCCAGGAGACGGTCCAAAGATGTGGAGTTCCAGGACGGGTGGCCCCGGTCCCCTGGCAGGGCCTTTCTCCCCCTGCGGCATCGCAGCAGCAGTGAGCTCACCCTCAGCGAGTGTGACATGGAGGACATGGGGGAATCTAAGGGGGGTAGGCTCATGGGGACCTTGCCTCTCTTCCGTGAATATGGAAGCACCTCCTCTATCGATGTGCAGGGCATGCCTGAGCAAAGCTTCTTTGACATTCTCAACGAGTTCCGGAACGAGCAGCCAGAGGCCCAGGGCTCCCAGAACCTCACGGAGCTCCTCCAGGCCCATTCAGGCCCACACCTTCCAGGGAGCATCAGCGGAGCCAAGGGAGATCTCCGCCACGAGCAGCCCACCAGGGACAACCTTCTCCCACTACAGCCCGGGAAGGAGAAGGAGAGGGCCCGCAAGAAGCCTGTGCGGGGCCTTGGCAGTGGGGACACAGTGGACTCGTCCATCTTCCGGAAGCTGAGGAGCAATAAACCAGAAGGTGACACTGGCCGGTCCCCAGGGGAGGCAGAGGAAGGGCGGAGCCCCCCGGAGGCCAGCAGGCCATGGGTCTGCCAGAAGAGTTTTGCCCATTTTGATGTGCAAAGCATGCTGTTCGACCTCCATGAGGCGGCTGCCAACAGGGTGTCCTCGGCCCAGAGGCGGAACACCACCACTGGGGCCTCAGCTGCCTCGGCCATGGAGTCCCTCACAGTGTCGCGGGCCCATGGCCTTGGGGGCCTGGACCCGGCCTTCACCAGTATGGAGGACTTGAACTATAAGGAGAACCTGGAGCAGGACCTGGGCGATGACAACAGCAACGACCTGCTGCTCAGCTGCCCACACTTCCGCAATGAGATCGGTGGCGAGTGTGAGCGCAATGTGAGCTTCTCCCGGGCCTCAGCCGCCTCCCTGGGTGGGAGCGAGTGTCGCCTGGCCGACCCCAGCACCTACCGCACCAACGCCAGCATCTCTGTGCTGGAGGTGCCCAAGGAGCAACAGAGGACGCAGAGTCGCCCGCAGCAGTACAGCATCGAGCATGTGGACCTGGGCGCCCGCTACTACCAGGACTACTTCGTGGGCAAAGGTGACTGGGGCAGGCAGGCGGGCAGTAGTTTGTCTCTGAGACTCCCCTGCTCATTTACTCATTGTGTGCTGGGAACTATGTCAGAGCAGAGCTGTGAAGATTTAGTGAGCAAGCCTCAGGACACAGGGCTGGCACGCCAAAGCCTTGAGCTATGTGAGGCAATAGGTAGGCATTTATTTAGCAAACATGTGCCTGGTTCACCGTATGTCAGCACTCTCTAGAACCTGGGGATACAGTATTGGACAGTTAAAAATCTTGTTTTCCTAGCACTATAATGTTTTAGGGGTGGGTGTAAGGCAAATAATAAAATTAGATAAATGGCCTGGCCGGTGTAGTTCAGTGATTGAACATCGACCTATGAACCAGGAGGTTGCAGTTCAATTTCTGGTCAGGGCACATGCCCGGGTTGTGGGCTCGATCCCCAGTAGGTGGTGTGCAGGAGGCAGCCTATCAATGATTCTCATCATTGATGTTTCTATCTCTCTCTCCATATCCCTTCCTCTCTCTGAAATCAATAAAAACATGTTTTTAAAACTAGATATATAGATAAAATATGTAAGGTGTCATATGGTAGGAAGTGCTATGGAGAAAAGTAAAGCAGCCAAGAGAAAAATAAAGTGTTAGGGTGGGAGGTTACGATTTTCAATAGGGAATGGTTGGGAAGAACCTCCTAGTAGGTGCCATTTGAGTACTGAGCTGAAGGAGGTAGGGGAGGAAGACTAGGGACAGTGTTTCCAGCACAGGGAACAACAAGTATGATAGTCCTGAAACACCAAATAGGAAGAAAGCCATTGTTGCTGGGGTGAACGACTGGGGGAGAAGAGAAGGAGCTAAGGCAGAAAGGTGACAGGGACAGATCATATGGGACTTTGTGGGCCATAATGACGACTCTCACTTTTACCCCAAGTGAGATGGAGCTGCAGGAGGTTCTGAGCAGGAGAGGACTATGTTCACAGCCTCCCTCTCGGGATAGAGAGCCAAGAAGAAGGCGATGCTAGACACATCTAGGATAGGGGCAGGGAAGAAATAGGGAGGCTCTGGATCCCCTTTGAAGGTGGAATTATTGATGTTTTGAAGTCATTAACACCAGGGAGAGACAGGCTTCATATATCATTAAATTTGTTGGTGCTGGTGGGGCAATTCCACGAGGCAACATAGCATAGTGCAGAGACCACAAACCCAGGCAGGACATGTACAGAAGTGAAGCACACCAACCAGGGACTAAGCACAGGGCAGCTCCTGCTCAGGTCCAGCTCATCGTTGTCATGTAGGAAATGCAGACAAACCCAGGGTTGCCAAGTTGTGTGACTTGGCAGACATGGTGTAGTAAGATGGGCGTTCACTTCTTATGGTCTCTCCATTGAATGTGGCCGTGACCGGGCTGAGAGCCTACACCCGCCATCCCCTCAGTAGGCCTGCCGTGGGATATCACCAGAGACCTGACTCTGAACTCACCTACTCTTCTCTCACAGAGCATGCCAATTACTTTGGTGTGGATGACAAGCTAGGGCCAGTGGCTGTAAGCATCAAACGGGAGAAGCTGGAGGACCACAAGGACCATGGGCCTCAGTACCAGTATAGGATCATCTTCCGGACCCGAGAGGTAGGTTCCCTATTATGTAAATAATAGCTGCTCACAACTGTGCACTCTTCCTCTGAGCCAGGTTCTATGGCCAAGCGCTTCAGCTGCTTCATCTCATGTAATCCTCCCGATAACTTCACAAACACAAGTCTCCTCATTTTACAGAAGAGAAAAGTAAGACTCAGAGAAATTAAACTTGTCTAAGATCAGTGAATGAGTGTCCAGGCCAGAACTGGAATCTGTTGTGTCTCACTGCAGAGCCCTGGGTCTTCTATTTGCAAGAAATTATTAAAGGAATGTATGTAGAGCATTCTTTCAGGACCATGAGGTGTCCTGCAGTGTGGAAAAAAGATTTAAGGCAGCATGCCTGGGCAGGGCAGGAATTGGGAAATCTCAGCCCAAAGCACTGCTGTTGATGCTGATGGCTCAAAACGCTCCCATTGCATTTCTTCATCCTGAATGGAGAATCCCGTTGTCCTGGCTTGGTCAGAGGCCTTCCTCTAGATTACATGTCAGCTGTGACTAAGGAACAAGGCTTATTGGGGGCACCCTGCTTGATTAGGCTCTTAAGTTATAAGTAACAGAAATCTACTTCTAACATTTTAAGCCAGAAAAAGAATTCATTGGTTCATATATCTGCAAATCGAGGGGTAGGGCTAGCTTCTGGCATGGTGGCCCCAGGCACTCCAACAATGTCACCAGAGGACTCTGCCTCCTCATCTCTCCATTCTGCTCAGCTTTTTAGATCGTGATTGTCATTCTCTTTTGCCTCCAACAAACTCTCTTCATGTCACGGGAAAATGGAGACTGGCCGCTCAATTCTTCTATATCTTTATGACTTTCTCTCTACAGGGAAGACACTCTTATCTGCTGAATCTCTGGGAAGGACTCTGGTTCTGCTTGGATCACAAGTCCACACACATCCTGGGCCAGCCATTGTCATCAGGGATGATAGAGGAAACTGGGGCAGGGCGCAAGGCACTGTTATTGACACTTCCATCAGAGCCACCTGGAGGAGGCTGCTTGACCAAAAAAAGGGGAACTGGGAGAACAAAAACAATGGAGATTTCCAAAAAACCTTTCCAGAAAAGAAGCAATTGTCAGCTGGGAAGGTCCCCCCAAATGGGTCTCCCTCAGCCCTGCATAGCCCCTTGGGCCTGGCGTTTGCCCAAGCATGGTGTGAGGGGCCAGCCAAGCCTGGAACTCATCCAGATAGGTAGTTGCTATACCAGGGGTGGGCAAACTTTTTGACTCGAGGGCCACAATGGGTTCTTAAACTGGACTGGAGGGCCGGAACAAAAGCATGGATGGAGTGTTTGTGTGAACTAATATATGTTAACACTGCTGCTGATGAAGGAGCGGAGGGGAGAGCAAGAGAACCCTCCGCTCTTTCGGCTCCGCAGGCTGGATAGAACAGCCAAACGGGCCGGATCCGGCCCGCGGGCCGTAGTTTGCCCACGACTGTGCTATACCAAGAACCCAGCCCCAACCCCTCATGAAGTCCTTCCCACTGAGGGGGAATGTGATAACAGAAGCTTTGTGGCAGCTGAGGGGAGGCAACCCCCAAACCTTGTGCCCCATTTTGCAGGTGGTCACCTACTCCTGTCTCTACAGCACTCTCCTCTCTCTCCTTGCCTTTCTGG